TGATTTGCAGGTGATTAAGTTGATCTGATCTTGGCGATTTATCTAACGCTTCTATCCGTTACAGGTTTGAAGTAAAAAAGAACTTGACAGTTTTACTTAAAAAAATTAAATGTCTGCATTAAGAATCATCATCATGTGAACATTTTAAATATCTGAGGAAAAAAAGAAAAAAATATAGTTTTTCATTTTGTGGTATGTCAATATCCCAAATAAAATGTGGGTATACTTGAATATTCAATATTTGTCAAACAAAAAAGTTGTATTAAAAAATAACTTAGGGGATGTTTATTTCAACCCCCCTCAAGGAGCAGAATTCTTTGAAAATTTGTTGAGAAGTTGCACATGCATTACTAGAAAATTTATGTAAAACTATACCTTGTTTGGGTTTCAAATTACAGCCACTATTCTATATTTTTATGGGAATTTTGAGGGGTTGTATCTCCTAAAGGGTGAACATTTTACCAAGGTCATTTTTATGCAAAAACTATAAGTTTTTATTTCAAATATTTTTGGAACAAATGTCACTTCAATTTATTCAAATTAAAAGGTGTCTGAAATGCAAAATGTCCAAAATAGTACAATAGTATAATATCAAAACCGACTATGCACCTAGTTCTTAAAAAACCCTATTGCAGACTGCACAACCGGTAAGAACGGTCCTGTTTCTGATCTAGACCAAGTGTGACAAATCGTGTTCGTTTAACCCGAAATTTCCGCTATAGGTTGAGCAATCGAGTTAGAAGAAAGTCTTCTATGTATCCATCTCTATATTGAAATTTAAAAACAAATGCAGAAAACGTAAAAACCACTTTAAATGTACTAGCACAAATGTTACCAAATAATCTTGATGCCAGTGCCAAGTGTACTTTACCTCAAAATTGCTTAATTTGAAAGCTTAAGTTTAAGTGTTTGAAGAATATTACAAATACGCAATCTCGATGTTTGGAATGTAAACTAATTAATCCTATTAAATAGAGGTAAAAACACATCAATGATAATTTGCAAATACGATAAGTTAATTTGTTTGATAATTGTATTTTATAGAAAATATCTTCATCTTCTTCGTGAAACCAGTAATTTTGGTGTTATTATATCTTTTTAAATAAGTTTATTAGTATACAGTTGAATATAAATAGAGAATAACTTTCAGACTGTTCGTTTCACAAAAGAAAGTTTATAAGACCTTGTTGCAAGTACAGTTATCTTAAACATAATGTAGGTAAACCATTAAGAATTAAAAAACCATTATCCACCACTGAATTTTTCGCACATGATCGGATTACGTTGTATTTATGCGTTCTCTATATTTGAATGTATCATATAGGTACTAAATTCAGAGAATCATATTTTACCTGAAATATCATTGCTAATATTAGACTTTAATTTGTGCCTACCTATCGACCTATTATGTAGGTATTACACAATGGTATTATGAAGTCATGACTTGTTTTGCACTATTTATTTTATTATTATCACTATATACAGGGTACGGTGTCAAAATCCAGACAAATTAAATATATTTCTCCAAACATTTTTTTTATTGCAAAAACGAAATGGTTTAATTTTTTTACAAATTTGTACATATCGACGAATGTCGCTTTTAATGACACGACGTTTGGATGGGCTTGTTGGTTCAGGGGCGTGCTAACGGTCATTCCTTGATTTTCGCATCGACAACAAACATTTTTTCATCCGGCAGCACTATTTCTTAAGGAACACAAATGCAAGCTACAGCGTTTAACTCGTTTTGTCCTGGTGACTTTGGAAAGCATCTGTCTTACTTTAATTGTATAACGGTGCATTCACATGGGCCGAAATTTGGCCGGTCCGGAAAGCCGAAAGGAGCTGCGATTGGTTAATTTCACAAACGGTCGTTTTCAAGGTCATCACGGAAAAACTTGATTTAACTTCAACTTTTTCCGTCATCCGGCACCAGTTTTGGCGGAACTCAAGATTCTTAGATTATAATCACAAGTTAAATTTACTGACATTTGTAATGACATAATGTAAACACTCCTTTTCATTTTTCCACATAATATTGCAATTGTTAATAAAGGTTTGTTGGCATTCATGCTACCATAACAAAGATTCTTATTTCCCAGATAAGTTTCATTAATGAATTTCATATATTAGATCGGCCAGCGGTCACATTCACATGTGAACTGCATTATTATTATCCACGGAACGAAGCCGATTTCGGGCGACTCCAATGTTCCGTGAATTGAGAGTGAGACTTGTAGTCACACCGACAACTGAAGACAAATTTCGGATTGACTGCGCTGGATCTTCAAGAAGTAGCTCCTGAGCCCGTTAAATGATGTCTGACGTCTTGGCAACATACTCCTTCGAGTGAGTTTTCCTCGCCACTGTTGCAGAACTTACGTTGGACTTCTTCGACTAGAGAATGGTAATGCTAGAATGAAGTTTTCTTCATTGTTCCATTCTAAAGCATGTTTTAGAATTTAGATTTATATTTAATGATAGAGTATAATTACAATCATCATGAACTGGTTGATATGCGATTGACACGAGGGTCGATCAAAATCAAAGTTGTGAAGACGCAAGTTTTCCACATTTTTTTTTATTTTCAAAGTACTCATAAGTCGATACATTTTTCCCATATCTTTAACCCCTCCAAGAAATACGATTTGTCAAACTCTTTAAAATACTCTTCTGTCTCAGCAATAACCTTCCCGTTTGAACAAAAAATTTTCCTCCGAGTCATGTTCTCATGTTGGGGAAGTTACAGGTAGCCAGAATGGGCAAGTACGTTGGGTGCAGCAGCAATTTGTAGCGCAGTTCATCTATTTGGCCGCGACAATTTTAGATGAATATGCTGGTGCGTTATCGTGATGAAACAAAACTTTTTCCTTTGCTAAATGGGGCCGTGTCTCCTTCAATTTCTTATAGAATCGGTCTAATTATTCACTGATGTAGCACTACCCCGTGATCGTTCTTCTTTTCTACTACGAGGATTATTCACTTAAAATCCGGAAAATTTGTTTTTTCCTTTCCGACCGATGGGACTGTCTTTGCCTTCTTCGGAACAGATTCATCAAAAATCCATTGTTTTGACTGTCGCTTGGTCTCTGGCGTATAAGGTATCCAGATTTCTTCAGCGGTGACGACTTGATACAAAAACTCCTGCAAATTTCGCTTAGCGATGCAAATACTGCTTCGACATTGTCAGTCGTAACCGCTTGTTGTCCACCGTTAGCAATCGCGGCACCCATCGGTCTGACATCTTTCTCATACTTAAACTTATAATGTAAAATACTGATTGCTGTTCCGTACGACATGCCTAGGGCCTCTGCTACTTCGCACAGTTTAGCTCTGAGATCAACGAGGATCATATCGTGGATATTTTCAATGATTTCCTCGGTAATCACATGTTTTCGTTGAACCAATATCTCGTCACTGTCATCGATGGTGAAAAGTCCTTATAGGTACCATCCAATTTCGCTTTTATTTCTTCGCATGTTTTTCCTTCCAAAAATAAAAATTACGGATCCATTTTATCAAGAAATACAAGTACGTGTGGGACAACCGGCTGCCACATAAAAACTAACCTATGAATCGCTCTGAAATTTAATATGGTGTCGTTTAACAGATGGCAGTATACGACGGTAATGTCAATTTGCTTCAGCAACGTCACCTGCCCTCAAACACGGGTACTTATTGATCGACCCTCGTATAAGGTGAATATAATACAGGATGGACTACGAATTTGTTTATTTTTATATCAAATTTCCCGCTCAAACTCAAACAGCAGGGGGTTCGTGGATGAGACTAACCGCCAGCTTGTTTCTCGAAAATTTAGTCGCAATGGATCGGTTTATGGGGCCTCAGCGGGCCTTTGCGTAAAGCAATTTTATTTAAACGATGGTGCGCTCATTACTGATAGGCACTTGTTTAGCGTGGAGTACGATTTACATGACTTAAATTAGTGTCCGAACTCAATTTTGATTCAGAATTGGGTGAAGAAGTTTGAAGAGACGGTATCGAGATTAAATTTGAAGCAAACCGGAGGCCCGCGGAATTCACAAAGTGAGGAGAACGTACATCAAGTTCGGCTTCGGTTCAACGCGATCCAGATTTATCAACGTGCGAACGTCAAAATCCAATTAGTACCGGAATTAAAACCTGACGATTTGGATTGCTTCAATAACGTTGATTGCTTTCCAACGAAATCCACTTCTACCTTAACGGACACGTTAATAAACAGAGCAGCAGATATTGGAGCAGCCAAAATTCTAAAGCCAAACATCAAAGGCCCTTTCATTTTCCTAAAGGGTTTGGGCGCCAATTTCAGCTTAAGGGATTATTGGGCCGTCCAGGATTCTCGCGGCCGCACGGTCACTGAACTCTACGGAGTTTGTGAGAATGTTATGGGAGTTTCTGGCACACAGTTACAGGAATTTGCTGGGTACAATCGGAACACGTGGTTGCAGCAAGACGGAGCCACTTGCCACACCTCTAACGAGTCTCTACCGGTAGTGAAAGAAAACCGGAAAAGCGGATTTTTAGGAGCACATCCCGTGGCCACCAAGGAGCCCCCATTTAACGCCAGAGCATTTTTTTATGGGGATATTTGAAGAATCGTGTGTACACCCGTAAATCGACACTGCTTCAATTAAAAGCAAACATTAGAGAAGAGACGCAATATCACTGGTTTCTTTGCCCAAGATTCTTTGGAAATTTCTGTGCTCGTTTAGAAGAATGTTGAAATCGAGACGGCGGTCATTTAGATGACATTATTTAAAAAAAATAAATTACCGTGTATTGTTTTTTTTTTTAATAAATAGTTTTTATAATAAATCAAATAGTTTTATTTTTATTAGATATTCAAAAGTGAACTAATTCATGGCCAACCCTGTATAACAAAAAAGTTACATTTCCCAGTTTGTAAGATACATAGGGTAGATAGGAATAAAATGAAGTATCTATGACAAACAAAACTAATAAAATATTTAACTAGTTTATTTATTCTTAAAACCAGATTAACCTCTAAAATATAACAAATCATAAAAATGTATTTAAAATAAATAAAAAAAAACAATAAATATAACATTTATGACCAGGACAACTAATCAGTTTGTTGCAATTGTCCTTTTCTACATATACAATATATATATAGAGAGAGACAGACACAGAGTTGATTATACAAATAAGGACCAACACACACTGCATCGGCTAGCAGTAATAGATCAAAATTCCCGTTGTTAAGTATTGAATTTAGATCTGAAGGTCCTTATCTTTATAGGTAGAACAATGTTTTGCTATATTTATATTATACGTAAATAAAAATAAATTCAAGTAACATGAACACAATGAGTTGTCTGCACAGAAAGGCACTAAAGCATTAAAATATGAGGATTTAGAAAAATTAATATATATTGATTTTTTTTTTACTAAACTGACAACAATAAGCAACTGCAAAATAATCCTTAACATTGACCACTAATTCAAACCAGTTCTGTTTCAGTTGTGTAAAATATGGAGATTTCAGTTAAATCAAATTTCAAATCAAGAAGAACAAGATTAGTGACGCAGAGAGGACTGCAAATATTTCAAAAGTGACAGTAAAAAAATAACTTATTATACCGGGTGTCCCATTTTAATTGATATACATAAATATCTTGTCAGAGAAGCCATCAATCGAAAAATGGCCTACAGTAAAATTAGTTCAGTTCACTGAGGGAAATCAGATACTTACCTTGGATTTGACCTTGACCTCACCTTGAATATCGATTAAAGGTCAACTTCGGAATTTTAAATGGGACCCCCTATTTTTAACCTTGGAAATGGATTTGGCAGAAAATTTTACATCTGGATGTGATCACAACTTTGACCTTGACGTCAAGGTCACAACGGGTTTAAAGGATTCGTCATCCCTGAAGCAGCCTCGGAATAAGATGTTGACCTCCAGAATCGATGTGATTTACATCAAGGTACTCAATCACGACCTTCGATTCGTCTTTGACTTCCACTGTGTCAAGGTCATTTGAAGATCCACTATAAAAATTGACTTCCACCTCTACAAATGTTGCGAAAGAAGTTCAAGATTGAATTTGAAGGTTCACTTTGTTTTCCTTTCTGCTAGGCTAGGCTAGGGCTAGGATCTGCTTAGATCAGATCTTGGGAAAACGGTAAATTTGTATCCAAGTATGCTGCAACGTAAGGGATCAAATAAAAAGTTCATTTGAAGATCAGGTGAAGATTTAAATCCAGAATACTAACGTAATGATAACATAATTCAATAGCTCACAAATAGTAGTGTAATATTTTTATTTTTTCTCAATTTTTCTTCGTCAGTCAGTTTTACTTTGTAATGTACTAAGATATCTTTTTTCAATTCTCAAGCGAAGTTATACCTCCATTGAGTAACAAAACAAGATATTTTTATCATTCTCCCCTCACTCGTTCGTAGCATTATTTTTTCCTACAATTGTCATAGTCGACCCTCAAATAACCTTGAGAGAGTGGAAGTCAAGGACGAATCGAAGGTCATGATTGAGTACCTTGATGTAAATTCCATTGATTCTGGAGGTCAACATTTTATTCCGAGGCTACTTCAAGGGTGACGAACCATTTAAACTCGTTGTGGCCTTGACCTTGACCTCAAGGTCAAAGTTATGATCACATTTGGATGTAAAATTTTCTGCTGAATCCATTTTCAAGGTTAAAAATAGGGGATCCCATTTAAAATGTCGAAGTTGACCTTCAATTGACTTTCAAGGTAAGGTCAAGGTCAAATCCTAGGTAAGCAGCTGGTTTCCCCCAGTGAACTTTTATTTTAGGATATTTGTCTATTGGTGATTTTTCTGACGATATATTTACGTGTATCAATTAAAATGGGACACCCGGTATATTGGATCGTTTTTTTTCATGTGCCAAGTAAGTAATTAAATCTATATATGTCACTTTAAGAGGTAGATATAGATTTAATTGGTAAATAAATATAATAAGAGGTGAAAAAAACAAGCCTTAACTAGTAAACTACAGAGTGTTTTTTTTTAATAACACATCCTCCTGTAGTTTCTATATAGGTTTTTTGATTTGACATCCAGGGGTAAAAAATCATGTTTATATCCTTGAATGTCAAATTTGATTTAAATCCGTATACAATTTTCAGGGGGCGTCGCATTAAAAAAAGTATATTTGGTTTTCCCTTTCCTTATGTATATCGTTGTAACTACATAATGCGTTTAGAGCGTTCGAAAATTTTTAAGAAAACGTATGTGGAAAATATAAATTCGTATAAAATTGTCATATTGTATCACAATATTTTTGCTGTCAAAAATATTTAAGGGGCATTCCAAATATCAGTCGAATATTGTAACCAAAAATCAGTTCTATGCCACAATCGTCAGCTTTAGCAAGCCCATTTTATGCTACCCACTCTGCTAAATTCAAATAACCCTAAACAATGGGTAACAGAAAGAATATGAAGTGTGTCGAATATTCGAAAAATATATTTTCACCCATGTCTGCTAAATCTATTTCCCATTACTAAAATATAATTTTTAATCCGCATAAATCTGTACGAATAACAAATTTTCTTTACAATAAAATAAGTCTCCAATATTTCACACCTTTAGACCTGTATCCAAACCCATAATCTGTTTGCAGAGCTCGTACGTGGAAAACGACACCGCTACCATGGGTATAGCCCTCATATAGTTAATAGACATCCCCCTATATAACCCTTTTATTACTCCGTGCTGCCTATATATCTTCCCCAGAGTGGAAAACATGCCTTTGGCGAAGTGATGGGTGTCCGTATTCATCATGGCTAATTGCATGCGCCTCCTGGTGACATCTAAAGGGTAGCTCACACTCTGAGCCACGGCTCCCGCTAAACCGCCGCAAATAAGTTTGGCGGGAATGGAGAGGACCAACCCTCCGGTGTTCTTGTCGCAGGGTTTGCAGGTCAGTCGCGGAAGGTACTTCATGCAGCCGAATTTGAGATATTCGAAGCAGTAGAAAGATAGACCCGCGTACGGCACCATGCCCATGAGGGTTGGCATGAAGCCTCGATATAAAGCGCGGGCGCCGCCTTCTTCCTTGAAGATGGTGGAGGCCGCGTGGGCTATGCCTGAGTAGATATGTTCCCCTGTGACCTGTGAAAATGGATTGATGTATTTTAAACGGAAATTCATGTTGTTACTTGTAGTGCAAGAAATTAAAAGAAACGGGTAAGGGTTTAGTTGATTTATGGCCCAAAGAGGGCGCTTAAAAATTCAAGATGGCGAAAATAAATGTAAACAACAAAGTAGATAATATGGTATAGTGGTGATTTTTTAGATCATGGAGAGAATAAAAAAATATTAAAATTTTATGTCCAAATATTTGAATGTAAGTGAATTTTATTTACCGCCAATTTGTTTCAAGGTCAACTGAAATGGCAACACATCGTATTTTATTATAAATTTTTGACATCATACTTAAGATTTGATCTGCCAATAATAATTTCTTATTTTAATTTCGTATATTTATATTTCTAAAGTTCTTTATAGCCGAGAAAAATATATGGAAACACATTTGAACTATAGGTTAAAGCAATACATTCAATAAAAAATTAATTTATTGTAATGACTTTACAAGTTTAAGACCAAAGTGACAGGTAGACTATCAAAAATTCTATAATTTTTTGGCAGCCAAGCCAGAACCGATGCTAAACAGAATAGTGACTAAGTCTGTAATTTCAGTGTTGTTAGAAGTAGATCTGAGCAGTAAAAGCACACAAATTTCTTTCATTTGTGCCACACTTTTTTTTAGGGGATGATACCTCCTTGAAACTTCAAAAAGGGCTTGTATTTTTTTTTCGTATTCTTAACTGATAGATTTATTTTTCATAAAACAACGTATGTAATTAATCCTATGTGAAATTATACTGTTAACTTTCATTCATATTCAGATTGATATCCAATAAAAAAAGAGTAGAATGCTACTGACGATATGGTTTTTGTTATGACTTTGCTAATTCGAAATTATATTGGGAGTTTATGTCACTTATGACGTCTGTTACTTGAATTCTTATTTCTGTGTTGATTAAATAATATTGCTCTCTTATTTCAATCAATACGTGTATACTCTATAATTTAAAAATAACCTGCATCCATATAAGTGAACACCCCGTAAAATGCTTAACACGTCCCCATTTCCTTTAATTTTCCTGTTAAGAAAACTCAGAAAAGCAGATCATTTCCGTTGTTGACATCAAAAATGAAGAAAATATGTTCTTTCAGGATAAAATCAAAACCTTGCACAAAAATTTAAAAAGTAAGAAAGTATGATAAGAAAAAGGAAAAAAATTATTAAAAGACTTTTGTTTTGCCAAAACAGTATTTTGTCAGAAACGAATGGTACTCACGTGCTTTCTTAAAAAAAGAACTCATTAACAGAACTATATAAATTTATAAATTACCTTTAAAATAAAGTAAAAGTGCTAGTAATGAAATATACAGGGTGTCTCATAATTAGTATCCAATAATTTTACCACTTGATTCTATTGCCAAAAATAAGAATATGCGTCGAGAAATGCTTCCTAAGATAAAATTTGATTCATTTTTTTTTACATGTTGCTATATTTAAATTTAAACAGTAAAAATTGATAGATCTCAGTTTTCTATTTCTATTCTAAAAAATGGTGATGTAGTTTTATATCGAAAAGGTAATCCGTTTTCGAGAAAAATTGGTTTAACAAACTTTTCTCAGCACTTTTCACGTTGATTATTAAATTGGATATGAATGATATTATGACATCAAAATTCATAATAGTACATATAGGTACCCATTTAGCTATTCAAGAAAATTTACGTTGACCAAATTACGCACATCCCTGCAAACATCTCTGCAAACTCAAATTATTGACAAGTAATGACAAAGGTTAAACGAAATTTTGTTTGCATTTATGCGTGTTTTCCTAAGGCATTTTCCTTCTTTCATAAAAATTCACAAAAATTTTACCTACAAATTTCATAATAAATAATGCAGACCAAAATGCTTACTAATGATAATTCTAAAAATGATATATCAAGAAAGTATTAATTCTCTTTCTAGGTCTACCGATAGTTTTTTTTTTATCACTACAATAGAATCTGTTCAAGTAACCTATTTGAGTAAGTACCATATTAAAACTGCATATAATAATATAAATAAGAAAAAGGTATTTTTATTTTATTTTATTAACTCTCATTTTTTACATTACTTTTTTGAGAATGATATCGACCTAATAACGTCCCTCCGCCATAAAAAAATTAGCTCGTGGCTCAGCCAGGAAGGCAATAGACAATTTAAATTGGGTCTTCTCCCATCTTGTACATCCACTCATATAATACCCAGAAATTTCTGTTACGGAAATTCACGTTTTTACTTTACGGAAAATTTATTACCCCTAAGTATTTCGTACTTACTTGGAAAGCTAATCTTGCCCTAATAATGTCCAAAGGATATGTGAGAGTTATAGACGTCACGCCTGCTCCAGCTCCAGCTAAAAACTTGTCGAAATGCGACTTTTCACCAAAAAAACCATCCAAACATTTTTTATATATTTCAAATGAGGTAAATTGCGTAGCTGCGTAAGGAAAAATCCTAACCATTTGTGCACCATTACCTTGAAATGCCAATAAATTTTTATTAGTGACCTCGTGTAGTTTTAGCTGTAAGTAATAGCAGGATTACTTATAGGGTATTTCATAAAAGTTCATCAATATCTTGTTTCTTCTTCTTTTAGTATTAATTTAAACCTTTCGATGAAATTAAGTAGGTATTCTAAGAAATAGTCTTTTTTCCTGATATTTTTCCGAAGACAATGCCGAAAACCGCAACTCGATCGGTTCATCAGAAAAAATTTTCTGATTCATTGTCTAACTTGCCTGGTCTATTACAGTGATTTGAAAAATCAGCCAAAAAATAGAATTGCCATCGACATTTCCGTGCGATTATTTTTTACTTTTGACGTGGATCGGCACCGATCAACTTAATTCGACTGTTGGCAATAAAGCACCATCGAAAACCACTGCATATTGATGATATAAGGAATTTAATCGTGGTCGTGGTTCGCTCACTGACGAATTTTGCGAAGGTCATCCAAAATCGGTTGTTGTTCCAGAAAACATTGATGCTGTGCATGAATTTATATTGCTAGATCGTCATGTGACATCGTGAGATTGAAGCATCCGTGGGCATTAGTGGGACCAGGATATATTCAATATTGCATGAACATTTGGCCGCCAAAAAATTTGTTGGATCCCACATAATTTGACAAGCGCTAAAAAAATACTAGAGTCGATTGGTCGAAAGAAATACTCAAGAAATACGATCGCGGTGCTTCAGAATACGTCTATGACATCGTAACAGGTAACGAATCATGGATCTATGTGTATGAGTCCGAAAGTGGTTCGGACGGTCATTCTCTTCATCATTCTCCACCAGGACAATGCTAGTTCTCACGCATCGGCTCGAACGAAAGACTGAGAACTGAAAAAAGTCGAATTGATGAGTCATCCGCCGTACAGCCCCGATTTGGTAGCCAATGACTTTTTTACTCTCGCACATTAAAAAAAATTACGAGGTCAACGTTTTTCGACGCCGGAAGAAACGGTCGATGAGTTCAAAATGCATGTTTTGGATGTAGGTACCTCAATCGGAATGGAAAAAATGCTTCGAAAATTGGTTCAAGGGTGTATTTATCTTCATGGAGAATACTTTGAAAAACAATAAAGCCATAGACAATAAATTTTGTTTTGTTTTCTATTCCCGAAATATAAGAGGCAACCCTCGTATACGCTACTGACTGAACACTTCTGCACCTGGAACTTTACCAACTTCACTACCAAATTCGAATCTTATTTTCCATAACAGCTGTAATCTTGATGTTATGTGATGTGTAAGTACAATATGTTGTGAGTAGGAGGAAGCTATTTCAACGATAATAGAATGTAAATACATAAAACACAATAATCGAGTTACCGCTTGGCTCAAGATGTATGACGAACTCTGTTTTCTTTTATCAATTTTGCTCAAAATATTGGAGGTAATCCAAACTTAAAAAAATAAATTTAGTTGCGTAATCCAAAGTTTGGTAAAAATGCACTGCTCGCTTTTAAATGTGCAAATATTAAGATATTTTTTAACAATCCTTTTAAATTACAATAATGAAAACATTAATTATTAATTTTTACATAAAACTAGAAAGGCAGAAAAGGCGCTGAAGCCTCATTTAAGTCCAAATTGTGGGAACGAGAGAGAATGAAAACGCGTAAATATGTACAAGGTTACAAGTAAATTTAAAAAAAATCCTATAAACATTTCTCCTAAAATTCTTCACGTCCAAAATTGAACGTATTCAAAATTAATGGAGAGTTGCAAGCAAACATTACTTACACATCCCGATAATACGCCACTGTAACAAAACCGTGCCATATAAATATGTGGACAATGAAAAACTAAATTTGCATTTAATTTTGCTTCAACCGTTTTCTTGCAATAAGAAAAAAACAAATTTCTTTTTTTAATCTTTAATACACCGTATCTTGAAACGTTGAAAACGAAGTGTTTCCGGGCAACATTCTTCATAAAGTAATAGAAAACCTATCCTTAAACTTTAACTCAACATTTTGGTTGGTTACAGCCTAGACATGAATCGGAAAAAAAGTCAGAAAAAATTCAATACTATTTGTGTATGCGAGTAACTACTTTTATTGGAATGCCATAATAAATAACAGCTAAAAAATTAAAATAAAATAGTACTGGAAATTTGAATGACACATTTATAATTTGAACTAGGTATGATGTGAATATTAATCTTCAACATATGCATATGAAAATATACAACGCCTTGTGCAATAATGAATCATGCCTCTATCTTCGCGTTTATCTCGATACTGTTATGCACTTTTACAAATAATTTCCGTTTCATTAGACCAAACCAAATTTTCGTAATATTTGTAAAGCAGTGATACTGGATGCGAATTTGTATAAAAATCGATTCGTAGGAAATCATACAAGTCTAACAATAAATAAATTACTCGTGCAAGTTACGCAATTATTGTATTTAATTCATAATAGGTACGACAATGTTTGTTTTTTACTTCTTTGTCAAAATTTAAGTAATCGATCCAATTGGTTCCCAATTGGATTATACCTGCTTACATTTCTGGTCTCATAATCGACGTATTTCATACAAAATAAAGTTCAAACATGTTTTTGACACTTGAAAATCATACAACTTAAAGGTGAATGCAACTATTTTGATTACAGAGTGATTCAATATATTTTGACCCCCCTTTAACTTCTTTGTTTTAAGAGTTATAAAAAATGTTAAATATCAAAGTTTCACGAGTATTTATGAATTTTTCGAAAATGATAGTAGAAAAACAAATGAAGTCCAAACAAAATGGCCGCGGATGTTAACTTTGTTAAGTTAAATGGAACACCCTGTATATTTTTACATATTTGAATAGAACTTTCCCTGTCGAGCATAGTCATATAGAGTTTGTTGGGTTTATCTCTAACAATAAGCAAGATACTATTAAAAAATGAAAAGAAGGTTTTTTATTAAGACAATAAGACATTTTGTAATTGTTAAACTCTTTCAGGCATTTCTGCATTTTTCCAATTACGTAAGGATTTACAGATTTTTGGTTATAATATATTTTCACAGATCGGACATTGATATGATCCAAAATGCGTCTCACTAATTAGGCCGTGAGAGGCCTAATTACTTATGGACAATGTTATATGGTATGTATGCCAGTGACAGGTAATGTCTTGACAACATTGTTATTGTTTGACAGTTTGTATTATTATTTAATTAAAATGGGTTACACAGAAGTAGAAAATTGAAATATTATAGGAATTAAAAGAGAGAGAAGTTCTTCTCCATACTGTATTTTAATTATAAATAATTTTCTACTTCTCTGTAACCTATTTTAATTAAATAATAATACACACTGTCAATCAATAACAATGTTGTCAAGACATTACTACCTGTCACTGTCACGACCTACCATATAATGTTTATGAGTAATTAGGCCTCTCACGGCCTAATTGGAAATTGGAAAAAAGGGATAAATGTCTGAAAGAGGTCTAACAATTACAAGATGTATTATTTTCTTAATAAAAAACCTTATTTTCGTTTTTTAATAGTAACTTGCTTATTGTTAGAGATGGACCCAACAAATCCTATATGACTATGCTCGAGAGGGACCGTTCTATCCAAATATGTAAAAATATACAGGGTGTTCCATTTAACTTAACAAAGTTAACATCCGCGGCCATTTTGTTTGGACTTCATTTGTTTTTATACTATCATTTTCGAAAAATTCATAAAAAATCGTTCAACTTTTATATTTCACATTTTTTTATAACTCTTAAAACAAAAAAGTTAGAGGGGGTCAAAATATAGCGAATCACCCTGTACATCCGAAATTAGTACGAATAAATCTCTAGTGTAAAAAAATAAATAATTCACAATTATGTATGTAAAAGTTCTCTATGAATAAAGAACGAAACATGGAATAATATTTTTAATACCGCGTGTACAGCTAAGTATACAAAATACAGGGTGTCCACTTTCACCGACAACGTTTGATTGCATATTCACGACGATAAATAAATACGATCTACGAAAAAAAGTTAAATAAAAGCTTTTTGGTTTTTGAGTTACAAATCTTGAAAGTTGTCAAAAATAAAACTAATTTAATTAATAACTTCATAACCCTTTTACCGATAGCGTTAAATTTTGGCGTATTTATTTGGACTATTATGGCGTATTATTTCTTAGAGCTTTAGTCAAATCGATATACTGGGTGATAGTTTTCTCCGGTTACCTCTCTCTTTTAGCGGTCAAAACTTTTACAGTGGTCGTATTTTCTTAAAACGGGCAGGAACATTGAAAGGTCGTTTTATTTAAAAAAATATATTCTCTTGAGAAAATCGCCTACAGAACGCCATTATTGAGAAAAATGGTATTATATGCAGGTCCGTGCGTTTCAGTTTGCGTATAGACACGGATTTAAAACTTTGGGTTCAGTAGGCGATGAAAACAAGATGTTGATTGCTGTGACTATCAAGTAATGTCATTATTGTCGTGTTTCTATAGGATTTTCATCACTCCACAGATGCAAATTATGAAAATTTTCAACTCCGTTCGTTGTAAAATAAGATTCGTCAGTGCAAAACTAATTTTGAAGCAAATTATTCTACGAAGCCATTCACCAACCAGTGGCAAAATTGTAAACGTGCGTTGGGATCTAAATTTTCCAGTTCTTGAGCACGAGTTAAATGAAGTGGCTGAAGAAGTAGCTTTTTTAAAAGTTTTGTGAACATTAGCTTTACATACGAAATTGTTTTGAAACACCGCGGATACTTCATAATTTGCTTGTATGGAGTGATGAGAATCCTAAACAAACAGGACAATAATGACATTACCTGATAACCACAGCAATGAATATCTTGTTTTCATCACCTACTGATCTCAAAGTTTTAAATCCGTGACACTGCTACACAAACCAAAACGCACAGACCTGCAAAGAGTGCCATTTTTCTCAAGAATGGCTTACTGCAGGCGATTTTTTTTAATTAAACGAACTTTTCAATGTTGCTGCCCGCTTTAAAAAAATACGACCACACTGTAAAAGTTTTGACCGCTAAAAGGGAGAGGTAACGGGAGAAAAATATCTATTTGACTAAGGCTTTAAGAAATTAACGCGATCGGTAAAAGGGTTATGAGCCTCATAACCCTTTTACTTAATTAAATTAGTTTTATTTTTGACAACTTTGAAGGCCTGTAACTCAAAAACCAACTTTCTTCTCGTAGATCGTATTTATTTATCGTCGTGAATATGTAGTTAAACGTTATCGGTGAATTTTGCGGACACCCTGTATACAGATAGATAGGTGTCACATATTTAATTAACTAATAAAGAATTATTGTTACCTTTGTACAAAGCAAAGATACCCTCTTTCTTTATTACATGCCTGAATCCAGAAAGAACTCCATGGGATTCGTGATGCTTGTTGTGCGCTTGAAGCAGAATTTTGACACGGTCAAGGGGTGCGACCGTTGTCTTTGAAACCATACCGGCTATACCTAAAATCAGGAAGTTATAAGTTAAAAGTACGGAAATGTAATTAATTCACGGACAACATGAATTTGGTCAAGCCGTAGTACATACCCTTCATAAATGTTTACAAGCCACCTGACCGCCAAGCTTAGGCAACCCAACATTGCACGATTAGTTACTGGTAAACGAAAATTCACTAAATATTGGCGTTACCAATATTAATGATTCGTTACAAAATTACTAGTCACGTGACTTGTAATCATTTATGAAGGCCCTGTACATATTAAATATGTTCTCAAACAGCAACAACCGGCACGTGAATACAAATTGTTAGAAATCGGGGACCGATAATGTTAACACATAAGCCGAGAGACAACGTAAGGCTAAAGGTAAGTAAAATAAACAAATTCCTCGGGTCAAAGCAGACGAGACAACAAACTAGACATTCGACTTCAGACAGCTATTAACTAAATATCTTAAACGGGCCAATGCCAATAATCTTGACTGGATATATGACCTCGGATAGATCGAGGTCGAGCGGGATTATCGCTTTTTAACCACAAATATCTTTAGTATTTTTTAACTCTCTTATGCAGTCTATACGATATGCGTTGAGATAGAATTCCAAGAAGACCCCTGTGTCACTTTCTTGGAATTAACCGCATCCGCTAGCAAGGTAGAAAGACATTGGCGGAAAATTTCAAAGCATGCCCCTGCCGCAGTAAATTGTTACAGTAGTTCTTGGAATTCTATCTCAACAAATATCATACGGACTATATTTCAATGTAAAAACTTGTATTTAATATAATATCTTGTAATACCCGCTGATATAATTGGTGTATCTATAACAATTCTATTTTTTTAATAGGTATTTAAAATAAATACAAGTCTCAAAACTGTAAAATGAAACTAATTTCAATTCGGTTTCGGTATTCGGTAGATTCGGCTGTTTTACCTGCCCTAACTTTTTAAAGAATTTGATATTGACGCTCTGGTGTCGGCTTAATCTTTCTTTTTTTTAACTGTTTCCACCTCTTGCCTTTTAGTTATAAATTGGAATCATCCTCAGAACATGTCTTAAAGTTTCTTAAAGATAATTGTTTTTGTAAACAAACTAAAAATAACCTAAAAATTAGAAACTCAACACATTGATGTTTTGGTAATTTCAAAGAACTAAACAACAATAAATTAGAACTATTTCTTTGCTAATTTATTGGAGTAGAAAGTTTATCAAAATTTATACATTTATTTCTGCAGAAATTCTGTAACCAGAGATAAAAAAATGATTTATTTTTTGAAATTCATCATATAAAATTTTTTACAGGTTTTTAAGATAATTTAATTTGATATACATTCCACAATTCATGTACCTACTGTTCAAAAGAATTTATCTGGTGAAACTTTTCTGTTCCTCTAAACATCTTTGATTTCTTTTTTTTACGACGACACTGACTTTTCTTTTACAACATACAGTTCCTTTGTTTCTGATATTATTATTATTTTTTTTATATTTAACTGTTTGGATGGTACTGATGTGACTTAAAGCATGGTCAAATTTTTTATATGGTCTGGCAAACTTTAAGAAAAACTGTAAACAGATGATATCAAGAACGGTGACCAAATAACAGGAAACGAGTACAGCTTATCAAATGCAACCCGGTGGATGGCATTTCAGTTACGAGGCAGCATGGAAGACTTTCTCGCGCTACTATTGCACATCGCGCATCTTTCAAAATATTCACTGTCACGCTACGTTTGAAATGAAAAACGGTTGACAATTATACAATAAAATTTCGTCAGCCTTTATATTACGTGCACCAATATAACCTAACCAATTTATTGTCTCAAATTGGTAAACGTAAACAAATTTAAATTCATCATAATTTTTTTTAGTTATAATTATATGACAACAAAAATATGAGCTGCTATAAAGTTTCAAAATTTAAAGCGTAATAAATATGAGATATGCCAAAATATATAGTACATTATACCTACATGCTTGCACATACATATAAGTATGTATAAAAACAAAACTTAATTGACATGAAACTGGTTCTGGTTGAAATCGTATGTTGCAACGACGCACGAGCCAATTTAATAAATGGGACTAAAACTTTCTTACTGAACGGCCTCCTTAACATTAATTGAAAAAAATCCATTGAAATCTACAAGCATGACCAATATACAGGGTGTCTCATAAATAGCTGCCAACCCTGAACAGGCCGATTCTATGATCAAAACTAAGTAAAAAAGTTCATATGAACATGGGTCCGGAAATGCTTCCTAAGGCCACAGGGACCCATTGAAGAGGGAGGAATGGAAATCATTTTTTTGCAATATCTCTCAATCGCGTTGTGATAAATGAATGAAATTTGGTATACACAGCTAAATTTTGATGAGCAATTTGATGGACTAATCCATTTATTTCCACAAGGTCCATTGGGGTGGGTACGGGGGGGCCCTTGGTACTTTGCGTGTGTAACTTTTTCATCTTTGACTTTTTAACAAATTGGACAGCAAATTCCGTTTTCCCGAACTGTTTTACGTTAAAAAGGTACTCTTGTTTCAAATCGTTATCTTTAACGGTTTCTGAGAAAATCGCTCTTGAATTAATCCCACTTTGGTCAATTTCATAGTAATTTAAACAAAATTATCAAGGTATTCTTATGTCAAAGTATTGTCAACCCGATTGCCAATTTAATAGTTCTAAGCGAAAAAAATGGAAGAGTTTACGGGACAAGAGTTAGTTGATATGATATTTATTTATGGCTTTTGCGATGGTAATGCTGCAGCGGCAGAACGCGAGTACGGGAGAAGGTTTCCAAACCGAAGGCTGCCATCAAGGAGGACATTCCCTACGGTATTCCGCAACTTAGCTGCAACCGCCACTTTTCGAAAGGCACCGGGTCAAGGACGTCCCAGGATTAATAGGGAAGCGGAGGTCCTTGACGCTATTGAACAAGATCCTACGACTAGCATACGGAACATTTCAAGGCAAATAAATGTTCCTCGGCCAACGGTACTACATATCTTAAAGATTTCCTTAACAGAATTGATTAGATGTGCTACTAACATTTCAGGTTGGAAGAATATTAAAGCGACAAGGTCTACATGCCTATCACTATCGACGTGTACATGGCTTGATACCAGAAGATTTTGCGCCACGTATGCAATTTTGTCGCTGGATTTTGTCGCTGGACAACGAGCAAGCTTCCAAAATTTTGTGGTGTGACGAAGCTACTTTTACCCGAAATGGAAAATTAAATTTTCATAATTCTCATTATTGGGAAGAAGAGAACCCACATGTTGTTCGGAGAACAAACTTCCAGCAACGGTTTTCCATAAATTTATGGGCGGGAATAATTCACGACACTCTGATTGGACCTATTGAAATTCCACAACGTCTCAATTCAAATCTTTATTTAAACTTACTTCAAGAAAATCTTCCCCAAATTCTCGATGATCTGCCTCTAAATTTACGACGTAACATGTTTTTTCAACACGATGGAGCCCCGGCACATAGTGGTCGCAATGTTCTAAATTTCCTAAACGAAAATTTCGCTGGACGGTGGATAGGGAGGCACGGACCGGTAGCTTGGCCGCCGCGTTCTCCCGACCTAACCCCGCTGGACTTCTTTTTCTGGGGATATCTAAATCAAAAAGTTTACGCCACCGAAGTCGATACCCGTGAGGAATTGCTGCAGCGTATCAATGATGCAGCCAATGAAATTCGTCAAAACCGTTTTAGCATCTTAATAGCTTCGAGAAGTGTTACACGTAGGGCAAGACTTTGTATCAGAGAAGGTGGAGGGTTTTTTGAACAGTTTTTAAAATAGCTTGTTGTCTGTTATCAAAATTAAGTTTCCATCTTATGATCCCTTCGAAAAGTGACGGTTGCAGCTAAATTGCGGAATACAGTGAGGAATGTCCTCCTTGATGTCAGCCTTCTGTTTGGAAACCTTCTGCCGTACTCGCGTTCTGCCGCGCAGCATTACCATCGCAAAAGCCATAAACAAATCATCATATCATAATTGTTCTACATCAATAATGTGTATTACTGATTACGTATTAAATTATTATTATTATTTTTTGTTTAAATTACTATGAAATTGACCAAAGTGGGATTAATTCAAGAGCGATTTTCTCAGAAACCGTTAAAGATAACGATTTGAAACAAGAGTACCTTTTTAACGTAAAACAGTTCGGGAAAACGGAATTTGCTGTCCAATTTGTTAAAAAGTCAAAGATGAAAAAGTTACACACGCAAAGTACCAAGGGCCCCCCCGTACCCACCCCAATGGACCTTGTGGAAATAAATGGATTAGTCCATCAAATTACTCATCAAAATTTAGCTGTATACACCAAATTTCATTCATTTATCACAACGCGATTGAGATATTGCAAAAAAATGATTTCCATTCCTCCCTCTTCAATGGGTCCCTGTGTCCTTAGGAAGCATTTCCGGACCCATGTTCATATGAAATTTTTTACTTAGTTTTGATCATAGAATCGGCCTGTTCAGGGTTGGCAGCTAATTATGAGACACCCTGTATAACGAAGAATCGCAATTAAGAAAAAAGTTCACATAATTATGTCTATAGGCCCTTAATTTTAAAATACTGGATAAAAGTAATACATTATTTTTTTTAATTTCAAAAAATAAAGTGAAACGTTTTATTCAAATTTGGCAAGATTTGGTTTTTAATTTAAATTAACCCGTTACATAATTTTTTTGCAATTAGAAAGCGTGTTTTTTAATTACTTGTTAACACCCTGTATCTAAAACGAGAGAACACATGTTTATACTAATTTCATTAATTTGTGACGTAACATTTGCCATGAAAATTTGGCAAACCATTTTAGTAACACCTTGTACCTACTCTATTAAAGTACCATATTATTATTATTATCACACAATACAATCCACGTCTGTGTAAAAAGATTGGCAAGGAGTTGTTTCGGCGTTGGTTTTGAAATCGAGATATTATACCGCACAATTATTAGCTGCTTTCAACAAAATCATAAT